GACAACATAGTGCAAGGTAAAGCGCTACCTTTGCAAGATTACTAGCTTGTTCTGGAATAAAGTGTTACAAGGCACAACCCATACTTTGGTTTGGCTTTCCAATCAGTTGTCCTTCTTCAGCTACAGATGATTTGCTGTACCCACTCACAGGTTCTCACATTCCTCTGAAAAGTTATCTAACACCCAGAAACAGAAAGGCAGTTCTTAATACATACGCGAGAATGGACACTGTAACGTGTAGTTCCGTCTGCTTTAGTACAGTACTGGTATTATCAAATCTTTTACCATTGCTGCAAGAGTGGCTCAGCCCCAGTCTCCTTCCTGTCTACTCATCAAGGATTATTGTGGAATTGTTACTGAAAATTACATCAAATGTGAATTTTAGTTTAAATATGATGTATCTCTACGTCTTGTGTTAGAAGCAGCCTCTTCTGTTCTCATCGTCCATGAAACAGAAAATAACCGTTCCCAACCTGTGTCACGGAAGCAGGGTATTTTACTGTTGCCCATCTTTTGTTGCCAGGTGCAAACAAGACTTCAGACATTCATTTCTAGCCTTCAACAGAAAACAAGTGAGATTGAGATTTTAGCAGTAAGTATTTGGCGGAAGCCTGAATTAATTTCAAATTCTTAATTTAATTGGATGATGCAGTTGCTGTCTGGAACAAACTACTGCCACTAGCCTCGCTTTAGAGACACCAAATGAACCAAACTTCTGGTTAAATAAGATCCATGTCATGTTTCTTTAATGCTTGAAAAGTATCTCAAATTGTTTGTATTGATTGGACAGTTGTATGGAACAAAATTTAGCAAGTATTTAGTTGTACATTCTTAAGCTGTACTTATGCTAACTACTGTGGTAGATCAAATAACTTTTTGCTCTTACATTTAAACCAACGCAGCTTTTGTTTGTATATAGACTTTGCTTGTTTGTATATAGACTTTGCTGACCATGTCATGAAGGACTTTAAAATGGTGCATGCTTTTCAGGAAACATACCGCCTCTTTGCCTATGCCTATTTAGAACTGTCATTAAAGTTTGTTTAAAATGCTTAACACCCTGGTAAATTCCCAGTTGTCAGCACAAGTGCTTCTTTAGAAATTGAAAAGTCTGACTCCCTTCAGTATAGCTAATCTCTAGTTGGCAAAACTGATAACTAAACAACTGTTAAGTACTGATTTCTTGATTATATTTTTACAGGTAGATCTGCCAAAAGCAACTGTGATACACTTCTTATCATTAGAGGTAAGTAATTAAGTATTGTTGTTAAAACTCTAATTGAACAACAGATGATAAATTATTTTCTTAATGAAGTGGAATGTAAAATTCACCCAATGTAGTTTTTTCTCCTTCAAGGAGTTTGAATTAGGTTTTAAACCTTGAAAGGATATTTTTACCCAAGGAGCTTGACCAAGGCTAGAAATATCTTTTTTGTCAAATGCCCAAGTTATGCAAGACGCCATTAGGAAGTCCCAATCCAAAGCTCTGTGTTTTTTTCCAAGAATAGTTAACTGAAATTGTCTTGCCGCTCATTTTCGGAAACAATAAGCATTAATAGCAGTTTCAACAAAGGTGTTTCTTGAAGCTGTTAATAAAGGAGGACCAAAATACAGAGGTAATTGTTTTGAGTACAGTAGCTGAGAACATCTAGTGAAGCCAAGATAAAAAAAAAATACTTAACACAGATGTGTAAGTATTAGACTGACACCTTTAACAACTCAAACTGATAAGGGGGGAAAAAACCCACCAACGACAAAACTCTTTTCTTTCCTCCTGTGACAGCAGTAGCTTTAAAGTCAGAAGTTCTTACTAGAGAGACAGATGCCTTCCCACCCTCCAGAAACTAAGCTCCAGAATGGCATCCTGCCTGTGAGTGGATTTAGTACTTTCATACCTTCCATATGCTGCTCTGAAGCAGTGCTTGTCTGGTAATCAGACCCCAGTGAAACACATGAAAATATTTTCAAAATACTTAGTTCATCCAGTTTATCCAAATCATGGAGATAGTTTATCGCCTTTTACTTGAAATAAGTAACTAGCATGCAGACAATCACTTTGCATCATTCACTTTTGATCTCCCATACACCACGGTTCTCCTTCTGTCCAGAGCCCTTTTCATTGCTTACACCTTTTTATTTCCAAACTATCTAAGAAACTGATCACTAAATTCTTAATACATTTTCTTAGAGAAAAAAAATTAAAAATCAAGTTGCACATGTTGTTCCTATGAATTTTGTTTGGAGCCTGTTTAATTAAGGAACATTGACATTACACAATGTTCAGAAGACTGAATCCTATCAGAATTATTTCCTTCGTGAGAGAATGTAAGACTGTTACCATAGTTCCCTGTCATTTTTTTTTCTTAGTTTGATGGAGATAGACAAGCCTTTGATGCTACTGTGAGACAACTGATGTCACGATGGCCAAAACAGAGATGTTCATACTTACAAGCAATTTGTGATGAAATTTACAGTATCAAAATGGAAAAGAGGTAAATTTGTTAAGCTCTTGCAGGTACATGAACCATCAGAGTTTTCTGCATTCAGGTGTTACTAAATAAGTTGCTCTTGTCTTCCCCTTTCCCTCTCCCTGAGGAAAAAAAAACTCAGGAAATGTGTATCACTCCTTCAGTATGGAAGAGTCTACTGATCATCTAACCCTCACTTGTGGTAAAATGTAAATTCTCGGCCATGTAAATTCTTAATTTTTATAAGCGTTTTCAAGAGATTCTAAAGTTTATTCCCACTGTTATCTCATTTTTTGCTTTGTTCATAAAACTGAAAAGCAAACAAGTACATACATTCAGGCATACTACTATCCAACTACGTAACAACCCTCTTCTCATGGGAGGGACTCAGCTTGCCTTTTAAAACTCACGAGCACATTCAGTTCCTCCTGTTTTGAAGGAGTACAATGGGAATCTGGCACAGCTTTTTCTAAGCATAAAGACATGTATGTTCAGCTTGTCGTCTCCTTTATGGATTCTGTCAAGGCTGAAACAGACACGCTGGGCACATGCAGTTTTAAGCCTCAAAATTTCTACTGTTGCATGTTGTGAGAGAGTTAAGTGAGACCTGGGTATTTATATCCTACTGTGGGTTTAATTTATAATACATTTTCTTAAAGCTATGTTCAGCTTGAAGGTACTACTTAACCTTTAAGTGAAACTGAAATTGACTTCGATTCCTTTTTCTTAGATAACCCACTGAAATTGCTTCAGGGTTGCTAATGTTTAGCAAACATTAGGCAACTGAGTAACAAGTGAAACATTTTTTTCTTCCTGTGTCTTGCAAAGCTGTGAGCAACAGAACCCCGTTACTCCATACTAATATGCCATACAATGTTGGGAGTGAATGTAATGCAGTCCCTAACGAAGTCCTCCTTTCCCATTTGATGCCTGCACACAAAACACTGCTTAGCTGTAAGCCCTCAGATCACTGAATGAAAACTGACCAGGCTGGACAAATGGAAAGAGAATGAAAGGGAAAACTGCAGTCACAGCCAAAGGAACTAAAACTTGCTGTTTTTTTCTACTGCATCCTTGCTGTTAGCTTATTGCTAGGATTTGCCATAGGTTTTGTAGCTTTTGAACCTGCAGTTTCAAAATTTTCTCTTTTCCTTCCCTCCACAGGGTTCCTGCACTTATCCTGTACAGTTATCGAGATGAATACAAGGTTTTGTTTTAGTGCTTAAAGCATCTTTTATGGGGTGCTTTTACAGACAAGTGTTTTGTCAAAAGGAATTTCTGAAAAATGTGATGCAAAACAGGCAACTACTGTCTTTCTATGTGTCCAGACTGAATTTCATGTGTAATATAAAACTGTAAATTTGTCAAAAAGTGGAAATAAATGTTTTATAAGCAATTGAGGAGCAAGTCTGACTACAGCCACAGACATGTATTATCATGTAATTCTTGGCCCTTATGCCACAAAAGAGATTATCAGTTTATGCAGGTGTAAAACTGTTTTTTTTTAAAATACAGTTTCAGAATGCCTTTCATGTCAACATGCAGCAGTAGTACTGAAAAGAGAAACTCAATGGGAGAGGATAAATTATCTTCAACTCTAACAAACTGTTTTAAACTTTTTTGAAGAAAGGTTTTTGTGTAATAAAAGGTTTGGCTACTTCAGCCTTCTTGAAAAACATAGTACAAGCTTTTTGTGTGTGGTTTTTCTTTTTAAACTTACAGTTTTAATCTCTATATGAAACATTTCAAACTGAGAGAGTTGTTGCAAGCCTAGCTGCCTATGTTTGTCCTGCCTGTACTTCTGCATACAAATCAAGCAGCAGCTTCCTGGGAGATTAAGTAAGAGCTGATACAGGAAAAACTTGTTTTGGACCTAAACGTAAGATTTATGAGAAACAGTAACCTCCATGTGCTAGAGCCATAACCAGAGTTTTGAACTAGCTTTCTTGGCAGGGGTTGTCAGATTAAGTTTGAAGTTAAAGTCATAGTAATGATTGGAATCTTACAGGTTAGCTTCAAGAAGATAATGATAACACAACCCCATCAGAAAAAAGTGTAGCTGAGCAGCTTCAAGAAGATAACACAACCCCATCAGAAAAAAAGTGAAGCTGAGCAGATCTGAAGATGAGCTACAACAACCATTGTTAACTATACATTATATTTCACATCAAACTACTTGTAATAGTGGAGTGAATATGCATTAAAGTTAGGGGTTTCTGGAACCATACTGGTGCTTATCCTTCCTCCCCAGTACCTCCTGTTTCAACAGCTTCCTCCAGGAGTGCACTGCAGGCTCATTGCATTAAGAAATACCTACTTACTTTTTCTGCCCTTATCTTGTAGTAAAGAGGAGGGCAAAGTTAAAAGATGTAAAGAGCTAACTTTAAAAACAAATCCATGACCTTCTGGGAACTGTGACAGCTGTAGCAGCAACACACAAAGTAGCATCAGAGTCAGTCCTAGAGGCGCAGATAACCGTACCATTCCTTGCCCTTCACCAAGACAAGTCACATCAGTCATTACAAAAAAATCCATTTCTCATTGTGTTTAATAGGAACAATTAAGTATTTACCTTTTACATCTGCTCATAGTAGGAAGGAGCTACTTTAAGATGGGAAGTATGGGGAAATTCAGATCCCTGAATATACTGAAGAATGAAGCTTTAAAGTTTAGGTGACATGAGCATTTTTTAAGTTATGTCTGAAGGGAACATGATGCAGAGTCCTGCCCTTCCCTGACTCTGAGCCAGGGTCAGCACAGATGGATCAGCACAGCTGGATGAGCATGGAGCAAAGGCACAGCTGGGTGGCTCTGCAAGAGCTCAAGTGCTGTGCTGGCTGCCTTAGGGGTATCTGCACTGCATCATGTAGACACATCCCTCAAAATAAGACAGAAACAGGAAAGCTGCTGTTCCTGATAATACACTGGCACCCACTTTCCCTAGTACTACTGAGGCTTATCTATTAAACCGGGCATCTGTCACCGAGACTGTTGCTCCAGTCTTAATTTGCTCTTGGTACAGTGCATTTCTCTTCACCTTGTGTTACCCCCCAAACAGGTTTTACACTGTCCACTTGTATAATACAAAACAAACAGCAGTATAAGTACAGAACTAGTTGGCAGCAGAGTGTAAAGCTATTTCAGTATAACCCTGGAAATACTCCTGCCATACAACCGTCCACAGAAAGCACCATCTCCTCTCAGTTCAAATAAAAGTACTGATCACATCCAGTATCCTGCTGGAAGGAAAGCCAAAGACAAGTGGTAACTCAAAAAGAAATGGACTTTGCTTTGAGCAAGGATCAAGTCTGTTATAGTGATGGCAGGACACTGTTCCGTCACTGTGTTGCTTTACTCTTCTTGTTTTTGCTTTTCTTGTCTTTTTTCTTCAAGCCATCCATGTTAGCTCTCAGCAAATTTGAATATGCCTGAAACAACAATTGGAACCATTAAAAGAACGAATACTTAAGTGACAGCATACTAGAGGTAACATTTTACATATTGCTAATGAAAAGGTATCTGCATTTTCTCAGTCATGTTCTTACATCCTACACTGGGAAACTACTGTTTCTAAACCAATGCAGAAAGTTAGATAAAATACAATGGGGTTTTTTTTAAACAAATGCAGACAGATGGGTAGTCTAATGTTCAGCACTGAATCAACCCACTGACAGCTGTCCAGTGCTTCCTACTGACCACTCCCCTAAACCCAGAGAAAAGGAAGAAAAAATGCATACAAAACTTACCATCTGGAATTTATTTACTTCCTTTGAGCTCACCTACAAAAATAATACTGGAGGTTAACCAAGAAAACACTGGCTTCTGTTACAAACCAAGTATCAGTACATGGTTACCCAGCAGTGACCATCTATAGTCTTTTTAGCAGCAGTTGGATCAAATCATCATATTCAGTGGTAGTGAGGCTGCACTGACATATTTCTTAATCGTCACTGATGAAGGAAACTGCAAACAGTCCATACTCAATTAACAAAATCCTCTGGAGGCCATTCATCACAAATCCATGTATTTTCAAATGGGAAGAATGTGAAGAAACACTCTACAGAAGGTTTTATTTACGTGTAGGGCCAAAAAAATACATTGCAGCCCAGATTCTCTCAACTATTTCTCAAAGTAATATTTTTCCTTGGGTTACATGACAGAGAAGAGCTGAAGTCAGCTAAAGCCTTTCCCAATCTCTCATTCAAAGTAAACACATAACAGGTTTTCAACTTCTACTTAACATTTCCTGAAATACAAATAGCTCTGTAAATGAGAAAAAAATGCCATTCTAAGCAAGATTATGGCTTAGAAGAGCCTACCCATGCCCACATGTTCTTGCCAGGAAACAAGGATCCCCTTCCTACACTTTCAGAGTCTGGGAACATTCAGTTCTTTCCTGGGTTGGAAGAACCTTCAGTAGTTCCATCGAGGTCTATAGGAAGCTAACTCTTTGTCACCCAAGGCTTGAGTGTAGGTGTGGAGGACCTTTCTTTTCCTTGGAGCCACACCACTTGCCCTCACTGCAGGTTCCATATCTGCCCTGTGTCCTTCTGCCCATGTCTCTAAAAGCAGTTTCTCCCTTCCCTCCAAACAATTTCACCTCAAAACACAACAGCCAAGGTTGCTGAAAATGGGTAGAGTCCCTTTCTGCTGTCCTGCAGTACCATTCTGAAGCAAATTCCAGCACACAAAGCAAAACTATAAACTACTGTCCCATCTGTAATGCTGAGTGTAAGCATTAAGACTTCACCTAAGTGTAACACTTCAACATCCCAGCTTCAGCTGTGTGTTTAGCTACCATATGTTTTCCCTGGAATTAAGAGGGTAGGTCTCATGAAATTAACATAAAAACAAATTTCACTTAAAATATGGGGCATTAAGTAAAAGACAAGCAGTGCCACTAATCTTTCTAACCCAAAGTTGTCACTTACCACTGTGCTAATTTTCTTCTTTCCATCAGTTGCTCTTAGAAGACACTTATTGTCTGCTGGTTCAAAACTTTCTACGTGGCCTTTGCGTGGGACTGGTTTTGTTCGGCCATCATCTGTATTGAAAGACATAGAGAATGTTTATGCACGTTTTACAAAAATCACTGGATGTCTCCTGACACAAGATGTTAGAAATTGCTCATTAAGAGATCTATAAAACACCTTGGAATTTAAGGCCATCTGAACTGACATTGCTAACAAATTGTTCACAGACCCCTTTCTCTGTAACCCCAGAAGGATCTGTTCTATAAACTACATCTGCCAGGAGAAAAATGTAAATCCTTGCCTGACACACTGTATGAACTGCCTGCTTCAGCAGCAGCATGTTCTAAATGCGTGTCAAACTGCAGCCCAGGACACTTGACTTCTCAAGCAGCAACCCAGAAACCAGAAAAAAACACAAAAGCTACACTATAATTCTCCTTTTATAGAAATCTAAACATTTCCAATTTTTGTTGAATAATTAGAAAGTCCCCCAATGTTTCCTACAGTTTGAAATACAGTCTTAACTACACAGTTATTAGTACTGCAGCAAAGATGGTTCATTTTTCCACACGACTGCTCTTGTTTTCGGATACTCTGGCTTACCAGAACATACAGGCTAACAACGCTAAGCGTGATTCAGACGAACTCCTCTTTAATCCAACAACATAATGGAAACTTACATTTCTTCAGCGTTATGAAAACACTCCCCGAAGTTCTGCACTTTTGGAAGAGTCTGGTGAGCTCTGTCAGGAACT